ACTGGATTCACTTTGTATTAGTCTTCTTCCTGCTTCACTAAGGTAGGCAGCAGCTTGACAAAGCCATGATGGCAATTATTTACATCCAAGTAGTATGCGGTTCTTCATACACACACATCAATTTCAGTATCGCGGCCAAAAAAATGGCATCAGTGCAAAATTGAATATTATTTCAAACATTTCCTCTTGTTATCAGTGAAGACTGTCTTGTTCTCTGACCTCTTTCTGGACTGTTCCGTTGCGGCTGTACTGGCCCAGCATGGCCAGGTGAGTGAGGAGCCACCATGTGAATCCCAGCGGGTCTTTAACGTGCGCAGGTAGGCCTGCAAAGCGCTCCTCTGCAGGCTGCCCGGCAACCAAAGGCTTCAGCAAGGAGTTCATGTAGCTCCAGAAAGACTGGAGGAAACAGACTAGAGTCAGATCAGCTTTGACACGATTCATCGTGCCACTGAGGTCATCGGGGTATTACAGCTACCTGTGTGCGTAAAACTTTATTCCTGTGCTCCAGAAGGTACATGAGCAGCACCCACAGCTCTTTGGTGCAGAGGCAGAGAAAGGGGTCGCTGCTCAGCGTCTCAGTGGGCCTCACCTGGAGCAAAAAAAAAACGGTTTACAAGACGAGGTAAAGGCAAGTTTATAAAAATTTCATGGTATTGGATCTTAAACTAAGTTCTGCTCCTCCCCTGCATGTTGCTGTGCATTGCATCTCCAATGGAGATGACTGCTTTAAAAGAAGAGATGCATCATTTAAGCGCTGAGACGATAATCTGATTAATCAATTAGATGGAGGATAAAGATCCTAATGTGTTCCATTAGCTAAAACAGCTACACACATACATAAACATGTTGCATTGAACATGAAAAACCTGTTTTGTAGGTTAATAATAAGCTCTGTCCAGAACCATTTCAGTCGTGTTTTAGCGTCAACTAGTTTAAAATTTAAACCACCTTTTGCTACCCGAGAAAAAATAGCCGATTAATCGATTTGTAAAATAATCGATAGTTGCAGCTCAACAGGACAGAATTAACTTGCATATCAGGTGATGTGGCTCATTTTCAAACATGCCAATGTTTATATTCCTCTCGCTGCTGTTTGTTTCAGGAGGGGAGGAGATGCAGATCAGAATCTGGGTATTAAACTAAAGCAGAGTCAGAGTTTTTCCACAAATGTGCATCCTGCAGCTTTTAGATATATTTTAAACACACGCAAATCCAGGGTTGAATGACTTCCTCAGCATCATGCAGTCAGGTTCTCCAGAGTCCTGCTAATAACCTGCTTATTTAACTCAGGAGGGATGAAGCTGAGACGCATCCGGAAGCTGCAGGTCAACAGACCTGAGGACCAGATTTAAGGAACTTTGATATCCGTAAATATTACTTATTGGTCATAACAGCAACATTAGTATCAGATATTAATATAAGCACTTTGGCTGAAACAATTGATTGGCTTAATCATGATTAATAGATAATTTAAATAATTGTCAACTAATTTAGTAATGGATTAATCATTTAACTGGGGTGTAGAGACTCTAAAACATGCCTTTAACTGACAGAGGAACCTATTTAGAGCAGTAATGATATCGGAATTGTAAATAAAACATATTATCATTTTGAATTACAGTAAAAAAAAAAAAAAAAAAAAGATATTCTTGTGTTACTAATAATATGTGTGTGTGTGTGAATATGCTCCATCCAGAACGCAAGTGAAATTTTTTTTTCACCTGGTTTAATTTAGTAAAATAAATATTCTAAAAGGAACCTTTTGCTATAATCGATTAATCGAAAAGAAAATAATGAAAAAAAGAATACTCGATTTGGAAAATAATCGTTATTTGCAGCCCTAATTAGCACTAATTTGAGTTAAAAAAAATAGCAGTTCTGTGATGCAGCAAACTGCCAGGGCTGCTAACTAAAGTAAATATAAGATTGTTATACTATTGTGTTTTTTAGGTGCAAATAATTGAATTATTACATTTAATTAGCCTTTAGAGACTAAGTTTTGCAGAAGTTTATTGTTAAAATCTACGTTTAAAGATGCATTACTGAAATAATCTATTTATTATATTAGCTCAGCAGCAGCAAGAAAAACTGTCAGAATAATATATGTATGCATCTCTGCTTCTTTCTGTATCTCTGCTTCTTTCTGTATCTCTGCTTCTGTCTCCTTAAACCCCAGTCGGCTTCAGCAGATGGCCGCTCACACTGAGCCTGGTTCTGCTGGAGGTTTCTTCCTGCTAAAGGGAGTTTTTCCTCTCCACTGTCGCTACAACCATGCTTAGTGTGAGGGTTTGCCTTCGAGCCAATGAGTCGATGCAATCATCTGGTTTTCCTTAGATAGAAAACATTGAATCAATTTGACTGGATGATCTGGTGAACTGTAAACTGCCTTGAGATGACATGTGTTGTGAACTGGCGCTATAGAAATAAATTGAATGAATATGAAACAGAAATGTTGCTTTTTTCACTACAGGTGTTGGAATATATACCACTAACATTTACTATGTTTGGTAATGATTGTTAATCTGTGTCCCATTTTTAACTAGGCAAACAGGGTAATGGTGAGATGCAGTGATTTGTCCCACCTTGCTGTATTTGCCCATGGCCAGAGCAGTGAGGTCACACAGCAGAGAGCACAGGTGCTCCTCAAACAGACTGGCATCAGTCAGGTTCTCCCCCGTCAAGTTGACAAACTGGTGGGCGTAGACCACCTGGCCTGCAGACACATCCGACAATGATGAAGATGACTCAGTGCAACACAGACATTACTGGTTAAGTCCCGGTTTGTGTTTGCGTCGTACTTTGCATCTTGTGACCCACAGCATGTAGGATTTCCAGCACTGACCAGTGAATGTCAAGATGAAGGTGCAACAAATGCCAGGAGGGAGGGAAAATCTGTGGGAGGATGGAGAGGATCAGGGTGACTGGAAGATGAACCAACCCAGCTGTGGGAGTGAAAGAACTTTATTATAGTCACTTTTTATTGTTTCCTGCGTTCTATGAAGCCCACCACTTTTAATAGTCCTGTTCCTACAGTCTTTATTGATTCACTGTACTCTGTGCTTTAAAAAGCATGGCTTCCAGAACTCTTTATCAAACGTAGCGTATAAGTTAATGATTTTTGTTTGTTTTTTCCTGAAACAGTTAAACAGATCCATCATAAATAGATCTTAAACTGTAATCAATTCACAGACAGACTCTGTTTTTATTCGCCTCACCACCTGCTGCTGCCTCGGCTATAATTCAGACAAACTTGATGTAGTTTAGTTTCAGATAAAATATCAAAGCATAATCGACATTATTTAAGATAATTCATTTCTTTTAGTTTAAGCATTTTAAGGGGCTTTAAAGTGGTAGGGAAACGGCTGTTCCAACCGTTGCATTTCTGAATTCTCCTGAGTGATCCACGACTTTATATGAGTGAATAAAGTGAACGTGATTGGTCGTTTATAAAGAGGGAGGGATTGTTCTGGTGGAAGGTTCGCAAGCAAGTTTGATTGTGGCCGGTTTGTCGGAAGCATCTTGCTAACCAGTTAGCAACTTAGTGCTAGTAGGTTCCCAATGGGAAATTCCATTGGGACCAAGAAGGACTAAATTGGTGACTTAGAAACGACACTGTCAAGGAACGCTATGGACAGAGGAAACATGCAAGAGGAGGAGAGTTTTGTGTCTGAGGCCGTGGATGAGTCTCCTCCATCATATAATTTTTATTTAGAGGAGGAAAGCGGGGACGAAGATGTTGTGGAAGAGGACGCCAGGGCAGCAGATGCTTGGTTTGGTGTAGAAGGCTTCCAGCCGTACATGTTTGAGCCCTTGCCTCGCAATGCTGCCAGTTCTGTTAGCTCTACGCCTGCTGAAGACACAGACGTCCATCCCCGTGAACACTGGGACGGAACTTAATGGTAAAGGAAATAATCATTCTTATTTCAGCCGTTGCGTATATTAGCTGCAACATATGAAAAAATATGCTATGACTGAAAAACATGAATCATATATCAACATGACCGTTGATATATGATTGATCGAATTTAGGTGTTCAGGCTGACGTATAACTAACTGGCCTGCATAGGATAACGAAAAACAAAAAAAAAACAAAAAACAAAGATTTTAAGACAGTATTTTTTTAACAATTTAAATTTTCTAAATTTTGGGACAATATCGTCAGATAAAGAGTACATTTACATACATGTTTAAGCCAGAGCAATTTGACATTTAAATAGGATTTCCCTACGACTTTAAACATTTCCCGTTTTGCCAATGTTGATATTCTTCTGTTTTACAACCTGGAAAAAATAGCAAATTATGTGATGCTTGATCTAAAGATTTCTGATAAATATATACAGATTTAACATGAGGATACATGACAGAAACAGAAACCGCTGTCCATTGTGAACAGGGCGGTTTCTTTGGTCTACACATAAAAGTTGTTTATGTAGTGCTTTCATTTTTTTATTTATGCATAAATAATAAATATTATTGTATAATATACTAAATGTTATAAATTTGTTATTTATTTTGCACTTTAAATGTATTTTGTGTGCTTTTACTTATACAAATACCAGTTGCTCATTATTTGTTTTCTCTTAACACTCTTGTTTAACTAAAAAAGGTTTCAATAATTTCTGCTGACTAAACATACAGCGGTACCTTTCCATGGTTCTGCATACTGAAGGCACTTTGAACCCCTGCAGGCAGGTCTTTCAGTCTCCCTGTGAGGAGAGTGATGCTGAACAGCTCCTCCAGAAGAGCCGAGGGGAACTGCTGCTCCAGCTGCTCATAAGGATGCAGGTGAGGTGCATCCAAGGGCGGCCCCAGGAATCTGCAAGACAACCACCAAATTAAAATATATTTTTTAAAAGTGACAGTGATGAGTTCATCAAAATTTTCAACTGTTAATTGTATGAACATTAAATACATCACCTGTGCAAAAAGACTTTAACATACTGAAGAAATGTAACACACTGCTGACGAAGGTCCTCCGATTCATAATGCAGATTTCCTGCTTGTCCTAAAAAGAAAAAACAATAAATAAATAAAACAGAGAAGAGGTTCCATGGGAAGCTTTATTTTATGTGACGTTTTATCAACAGGGAATGGTCACACAGTAAACAGGTGATCAGAGCCGGAGCTGCATAGGTGAAGGACAGACAGATGAATTATTCTACTTCATCTTTAGTTTGTTATATTTTCATTGTTTGTTGTATAATGTTGTTTAAAAAGCATTTTCAGTGATTGAATTTTGTTGCTGTTTAATCTAAATTCCCCTTCCAAAGGAAACGGTTGAATTAAAAGCACATTTTTGAAATCACAGTTTGTCATTTATCAGTTTCATTATGAAACTGAAGGGAAAAGAAATCGAATAATTAGATTTGATAGGAAAAAAACAAGAGATCAGATCACATGTTGCTCCGTCATAAATACTACCTCCACTTAAAGCTATAAACACACATTTAGGCTACGTTCACACTGCAGGCCTTAATGCACAATTCTGATCCGATTTTTTTTTTGCGTTGCCGTTCCATTTCCAAATATATGCAACTTTTTATGATCTCCTTTGTGAACTGCATTCATACAACCTAAGTGTCCTGCATGCGCAGTAGAGGACGCAATGACATCACAGGCCAGCGTGCTCGGTGTTTACAAAAGTAAACATGGATGGTAGTGCTGGAGCGCATCTAGCGGTCTCTTCCAACCATAAAAACACAATCTTTTCAAGATGGTTAAACATAAATACTGCTCTCAGCATCATCGCCTGCCATGGTTGTTGTTTTTCTTGCCGCTTCTTCATAGTAAGACGCATTAATGCCGTTCAGTTTGGATAAATGCGACCTGGCCATTCTCACACAGGTCGCATTTGAAAAGATCAGATTCGTATCGGATTCAGGACCACATAGCCAAGTGGCCCTTTTTTTTTTTTTTTTAGACTGCCATGAAAAGATCAGATCAAGGTCACATATAGGCAAAAAAAATGTGTTTTTTGGGTCACTTCAGGCTGCAGTGTGATCGCAGCCTTATTTACCTATGATATCTACAAGTTTACTTTTACTTGTTCATGTTTCTTTGAAGATTTCTGCTTTTTCCATGTGCTGCTCCAGACTATCCCATAAAATCAGCTTGATTCACACATACTTTTCATTGTTGTTTTCACTTTGCATTTTTAGATTATAGCCTCATTCTCTTTCCGAATAGTAGTGGATTTCTACTTCCTTATGTTTGCACCTTACTAATAGCATTCATATTATTTAAACTGTTTCACAAATTTACACAAACAAACCAGCAAATTCACTGTTTTCTTTTTAGATTTGGTATGATAGACAAACTTAAAGTAGAAAATCCCCGTCAAGAGGATTGAAAAACAGTTTCTACCAAGTGTGCAAAACCACTTTCTACTTCAGTTACAGCAGCAAGACCTTCAGTGTGTCTTTACCAAGTCTGCACATTTCAAACAATAAATAATTCTTATTGTCTAAATAACTCAAGTCAGGTCAGATTGAATGGGTAGCATTTTAAATGACAAATAAAATGTTTCCAAATTTTGATAATCTACTTTAGTAAATTAAAAAACAGAGAGAACCCTTCCCCTCATTACTCCCTTGTAGACTTACCAAAGTCATGTGAGCTTGACTGGACCAAAGACTCCAACTTGTAAAAAGTTTGTCTGAAATGCAACAAACCAAAATATGAAGAAAGCAGGTTACACATCAAATCTAATTGTAAACAAACACACTTTTCTAGCTATTTGATTTCACCAATTGATGGTTTGCTGTAATTAAACAAACGTGCAAACAAGAGCCACAGCAGCTTGAAGTCGTTTCACTGCCCTACCTAAAGAGACCAAAGAGCAGTTTTGTCGATTCCACCAGCGCCGTTTCTGTGACCCAGGTGAAGCCAAAAATCTCCACCGTGTCCGTCTCGAACTCTGCAGGGGCCGGGTCAAGGCGCAGCAGCAGCCTTCAAACAGGAAGCAACAAAAACAGTCTTTATTTACACGTTTACTTCTGTTAGATTAACAGCTTCTCAAGTTAAACTCTACTGGGCAGACTACTTTGCCAAAAACAAAGATACTATCTTTAGAAATTGTTACCCACCTCACAAAGGAAAACATTATCAGATTTTTTTTAACGATCTAATTCTGTTAAACTCTTATAAATACAAGATTTTAACGTTCAGTAAACCTCTTTGCTCAGCTGTGTTTTTACTGCATATGTTCCCCCTAAAACAAAAATACAAAAACATTGTAGTGTCTTTTAACTAGAGCAGATATGTTGAGCGGGTTGACTCTATACCGTCTCAGGGAACCTCGTCCAAGATGTCCCTCAGGGGACAGAGCTCCAGTGTGGTCGTCCTTAGCTTCAAAGCAGCAGAAGCAGGGGGGTCGAGCAGCTGCTAGACCACACTGACCGTCTGCAGCAAAGGGAGACACCGGTGGAGTGAGGGACTCGCTGAAATCTTCTGCCATGCTGATGTTGTCTCCTTATCAGTCATCAATCGGGGCAGAAGTGTTAAAATATGGCTGTTCTAAATCAAACAAAAGAAAAAAAACCTGTAAAGTAATTTAGAAGGTATTCACCCTATTTATATTAATTGTAATATAAATCTAGGGTACTTCAACTTTTCTTAAGTGGCAGCTCCAAAACTGTGAAGCCTTCTCCTTTATATTACACAGACTTCATCTCTTGGCGTTTTTAAATCTCTTCTTTAAACACATTTGAATTATCTTTTCTTTGTATTTTATTTTATATTTGTATTCTCTTGTGTTTTGTCAGATGATTTTCCCCCTTTGTTTTCTATAGTGTTTGTATTTTGTTTTATGTTTTAATGATTGTTTTGGAGAGTTTTTTTCTTCTTTCTTTTTGTCTGCAGCACTTTGACCAGCTATAGTTGTTGTTAAATTTGCTATTAAACAAAAAAAAAAGACAAAATTTTTGCTTAACATGCCAAAAATGATTACAAAAATGATTACACATAGCAGGGCGCAACATAAAATATATATTTGAGATATATAACTTCCATAGCAGTTTGATGAAATACAGTAATATACTCGCCGAATAACAACCAAAATCAAAGCTTTTAAAAGGAAAATTTTGTAGCTTAAAATATAGCTTTAAAATCCTCAAAATGCCATAGCGGCCATGTTTGTCAGAAATAGGCGATAACAGGTTTACTACACTTTAATTCATGTTTAAAAAACATGAGATACTCTAAAAATTCACTAACTGTTTCTTACCTTTATAATAAGAGTTTCTCCTTATCATTTAGTGGAAAATAACAAGATTTTAATATATAAAACCTGACAAGCCGTCATTACAGTGTTTTGGTTTTCAAGCGCTCACGCGCCTAAATCGTGCGCATGCGCAAACATTCCTCGCCTCCGCTGATTTGTCAGAAGTTTGCATCATGGGCGGGGCTAGTCATGTATCAAAAAAATGTAACAAGAGGTTTCCCTGCTGGGTACTTCCGCTCTCGCCACATGGTTCATTTACTGCGTTGCGTTACCGTTAAAACAAAAAGGCTGGGAGGAAGCGTTAAAGCTTAAATATGCGAAATATTTCTATGTTGGTGTGGATACTTACCCTACAGAACGTCTATATATAATTTAAACAGGTCACAAAAGTTTTGTTTGATTAGACTTTTTTTTTTTAAATATTCCCCAGTGCAATTTTTTCCTCTAATTGAAATGTCTTTAAATACACAATAACATGAATTCACCACAAGATAAACAGATAAATGGAGGGAGAAGAATTCATCAATACCAGTGGCGGTTCTAGACCTAATGTACTAGGGGGCCAGGAGGGGGCCAGTGTGTTTTCATGGGGGCACAGAAAAGCATGAAATTAAAAACAGGGGAAGGCATTGAAATGTATTAAGAAAGCTGCAGGAAGTGAAATTTCTATTCAGTTAGGTTTAATTAAAATTCTATGTCTTATCATCAATATAATAATATATATTAATATATAATAGTCAATATAATAATATTTTGGCTAAATTTAAGTTAAAATAACCGTTTTCTATAAAATCTGAATTAGAACTCAAGAAAAACTGTTAAGCTGAGCCGTAAATATTAGAGCAATTTGTTTTGAAAAAACATTTAGCAAATGAAAACTGGGATCCTATCTCAATACCACTGAAACTATCACCTTATTGTTTTTGAATAATTTGTACAAAGAGAATTTGTAATGGAAAAAAATGAAATAGATCCAAAGGACCTATCAGTAACCATGTCTGTTCCAGCTCATATCATCATTAGAATTTCTTTGAGCATCATGTCTTCAGTACAGGGGCCATAACAGGTGCCTGGACATGATCTACAGGAGCACTGGCCCCCATTTCCCCCTGTCTTGAACCGCCCATGATCAATGCACACATTCAGCGACACACAGGAGCTCTTTCAAGCTGGGCACCGTTTTATTCACAACACCTGTCCATTCAACCAGGAATCAGAAATACTTTAATAATCCCACAGTGAAAATACTTTTGTTACATTACTGTAGAGTGACTTTAGGACCAGTTTGATATAACACAATTTTATACAATATATATTATTAGGGGGTCCCTGCTCCATCTNAAATATGCGAAATATTTCTATGTTGGTGTGGATACTTACCCAACAGAACGTATATATATATTTTAAACAGTAGAAAAAAGGAGGGCAAGGATTTAGGCTACGCTTGCTTGTCTATTTGCCTGAGAATTAATGTAAATTTAATATTCATTTAGTTTGTTCACAACAAATACTACAAGTTTGGTGGTACTACAATGATCTATAGTGTAACTTGAAAAAAAATAAATAAAATAAAAAATAGAGTTTAGCCCTTTTTCCCAAAGTAACAGTTTTAGTATAAACTAGATGAGGTTATCTATGGTGGCACTGATATAAAGCAGAGTTCTTCAACAGGGGGCCCGCAGCTCCTAGGGGGTCCAGGGAGGTACTGCTTGGGGAGGTCACAAAAATTTTGGTTGATTAGACTTTTTTTTTTTAAATATTCCCCAATGCATTTTTTTTGCTCTAATTGAAATGTCTTTAAATACACAATAACATGAATTCAACACACTGCAGTAAGCAGATAAATGGAGGCAGAAGATGTCTTTCAGTCATTAATACCAGTGGCGGTTCTAAACCAAATGCACCAGGGGTCCAGGAGGGGGCCAGCGTGTTTTCATGGGAGCATAGAAAAGCATGATATAAAAAACAGGGCAAAGCATTGAAATGTAATAAGAAAGCTTCAGGAAGTGAAATTTCTATTCAATTAGGTTTAATTAAAATTATATGTCTTATTAGGTCAATATAATAAGATCTTTGTCTTAATTTAAGTTAAAATAACCGTTTTCTATTAAATCTGAATTAGAACTCAAGAAAAACTGATAAGCTGAGCCGTAAAAAATAGAGCAATTTGTTTTGAAAAAAAACATTTAGCAAATTAAAACTGGGATCCTATCTCAATACCACTGAAGCTATCACCTTATTGTTTTTGAATAGTTTGTACAAAGAGAATTTGTAAAGGAAAAAAATGAAATAGATTCAAAGGACCTACCAGTAACCATGTCTGTTCCAGCGCATATCATCAGTAGAATTTTTTTGAGTATTATGTCTTCAGTATAGGGGCCTGGACATGGTCTACAGGAGCATTGGCCCCCATTGCCCCCTGTCTTGAACCACCCATGATCAATGCACACATTCAGCGACACACAGGAGCTCTTTCAAGCTGGGCACCGTTTTATTCACAACACCTGTCCATTCAACCGGGAATCAGAAATATTTTAATAATCCCATAGTGAAATTACTTTTGTTACATTACTGTAGAGTGACTTTAGGACCAGTTTGATATAACACAATTTTATACAATATATATTATTAGGGGGTCCCTGCTCCATCT